TGTTAGAATTGTGTTGATGTCCCAATATTTCTGGACCTGACTGTACATTACTATCTCTTTTGTTGGATTAGGATGTGTCTTATGACTTGAGAAACAATATTGTTCTCTCTGTGCTTTGGTTCTCACAATGTTAAAATGGAGTTTATGGTTAAGAACTGAGAAATCTTATGTCAATGACTTTTTGAACAATTGAGATAAACTATATGCTACAAAAACCAATAGAGCACCAAAAAAAAAAACCTAACCCCTAGCAATCATGCTGAGTTCCTGCTTACAATGACTGCTGGCTTGGGGTGATGAGGGTTATAGTCCAGGTCATTTGGATGGCAATATATTGAGAAAGAACACAGTAGACTATTACTACAGTTATATTTCAACAGAAGAGTCATCACATCCTCTAGAAAAAGGAAGAGTTTTCAAAAGCATCTGTGTCTTTGTGGAGTATTTTTTATTGTTTTAATGTAAAAAGAGAGGGAAGAAAGAAAAGGAAATATTCAGTAGCCAATTTAAGATGATGATGAATTCCACAAAACATTTTGATTGATGAAAATACATCCATTGCCATAATGATGCTAGCAGATGGATTTAAGAACTAAGTATTAATCCAATTAATTTTTAAAAATACAAAATCCCTATTTCCCCAAGACTTGTTTCAAAAGTTTCATCTGGATCCATGTGATAAAACAGATTCAGGCAGAACCCCAGCAAGCAGCTACTGTTTCAACAGAGCCCCACTGGTACCAAGATAGTTCAGATAGCTTTGGCTGACATGGCACTGAAGGTCTCGATCCACAATCTGGGGATTCTTCTAATCCCCCTATTAGAGCAAAAAGTGTTTAGTGGCCAAATGAGCCTTTGCCTAACTCAGGTTGGTCCACCAATTGTGAATTTTCTTGGACTAGGAGTCATGAGAACAGTGACTTGTCAATTCCTAGTTAGAGTACTATAATTCAATCTACATGGAGTTGTCCTTGAAGATCACTTGGAAACTACAATTGGCATAGAAAGAAGTTGCCCATCTGCTGACTAGCAGAAACCCCCCAATGCTGTAGGAGCTCCACTAATTGCTAGTTGGCTTCTGGGGAAAATTCAGAGTGTTGGTTATCACGTATAAAGCCTTGTATGGTTGATGTTCTCGTTATCCTCAGGATCATCCATCCCTAATACTTGCAAGCCTAGGAGGAATGCTGTAGTTTCAATCCTCTGGGCAGTTGAGGAGGCAAAGGTCCAGTAGATGACCCTTAATTGGGGAGAGTTTGCCTTCTGAGGTCAGAACATACCCTTATCATTCGGAATAGCAGTTTTAAAAAATGATTGTTCACAGGATCTTTGGAGGGAAAAGCCCAATATAAGATAGACAGCAAGGTATCAATGTTGATTTTGTTTTTGGATTGATTTAGATGTTATTGGTTATGATTGTAACTAAAGCCATCTAAAGTCAGTTGATTTTAAATGTTTAACAACTTATATCAACATCAAAGACTTTTCGCTTACAACCTATGAAATCACTGTTGATTTCAATTTTTCTGAAATATGTATCCATTATACTAGTAATATAGTATTATAAGACACTTCTTTTATAAACCCAGATTGTGCAGGATGGATAATCAAGAGTTGCATTCTCCGTAAACTGCATGCCGGAGTCACTGTCAGTATTTTGGCATCAGTATTAAGGAAGTTGTACAGTCAGCAGGTTCTTCAGCAGCTTTCAAAATCACAGCTATTTAAAGCTGACTAATGGATAGAAAAAAACTTTTTTTCAAGAAAGGTATTATAAAACTCCAGTAGTACTGGAAGTTTGTGTGTGCATGTGTGTGTGTGTGTGTACAAATACTACTCAGTTGTGATAGTCATCAGGACTAAGAGCTTCTCCTGTTTTAATATATGTAATGGTATCACTATTGATTTGTTAAATTGGAATAATTATACATTTTACCCCAGCATCCTTGATAGTAGAAATATTGATTTAACTATCTATCAAGGGACCAGTAGTTTAAGTCTTTCTCATCACTGCCAGTATCTGTATCAAGTGCAGAGAGAATTAAGTTCTTGTTCAGCACTCAGAAAAGCTTTATTGTATGTCATCTTTGCATATAGAAAAATTGCTTGATCCTTTTCTCAAAATTTAAGGTTTTTTTTAATTTTTCCATGAATCATAATACAACCATGCATACAGGATATGCTTTAAAGGTATCTCAGATAATCACTAGGTTTCATGTAATGTCGTATTTTGGGGAAAGGGGGAATCTTAAAGCTATTGCTGCATCTGTTTTGTGAAAACTGGATCCGGTAATAATAAAAAAATTAAATACAATCTAGAAAAAATAGGAAAACCGTTTCTTATAGGATTGTTACTGAAGTGTGATGAGATATTGCATTAGAATGTTTATCATTCATCTATTCAACTAAACATCAAAATACTAAAAAATAATTTAATTGGGAACAAATCTAGAGTTTAGTATTTTGCTGTGATGGATTTAAAAGTTGCTATCACTAAATTAAATTCCAATATAAAAGCTTACAAAACTTTCCATTCCAAGAATTAAATTAAGGTGGGATAATATTGTGATCTAATAAATGGAACCATCTAATCCACCACTAAAGTAAAAAGATGTTAGAACACCTGTGTGGTATATCTGGATGATCCTTAGTAGGACCTTAATAATTAATACATACAGTATGTGTACTGACTTACTTAATTACCAATATTGTTAAAAATTGTTCTGGATCGCTGATTCTTGTTTCATGACAACTTATGAACAATATCTAATCAGAGATCCTACAGACCTCTGCAGATGTTGAAGTTCCACAAATATATACACAACCAACACATGTCCTACATACATATTACCCTTGTGGAATATGTTTCTTGTAAAAAAAAAAGCAATTTCAGATTTTAAATTGCACAATTTAATACCCATAAGAATATCTAAGGTCTTCTGTGTTCTAGGAAAGTAACAGTGATGTCATCTTAAATTAAAATTCAGAAGGGGAGTAGAAAAAGAAAAAGCACACATGCAGAAACCAATTTCAAGGAGGAAAGAATGGCTGACATAAAATAGTAAACAAAGTTACTTTTGGAACTTTGGATTTCCACCTCACATTAGTACAGGATATGTAAGTGGAGTCACATTTACCATAGTTCTTTATATGATTACATGTCATCCACAGATGGAAGAATTGCCAAAGTGCCTCGACCCAACAAATCAATTTATACAACAAAAATACCAGATCAATATACTTTTAAAAACTGCAATGTGTGTGATTATGTTTCTGAGTTTTATAGCACAGTATTAAAGCAATTATTGTCCAATGGAAAAATACAGAAAGTTATTCTCAGAGCAATGTATTTTATTTGCCTCCAATATTTAGTCACTTTAACTTTCTCTTCTGTTTCCCAGATTTTTTAAAAAAAGGTTTGAAAGAAGGTACATAAACATAGTATAAATTATTGCAAACATTTAATTAAATATTTAAAGAGAAATTGTACTATCCAACCCCCCCAAAAAAAGAAATTGAATGAATGGATGAAGTTCATTAAAAAGCCACAATTAAAAAGCATTAAAGTTTTTCTGCTTGACAAGACACTGCAATACATGAAGGATTCTGCTATAAAGAAAACTGAGACAAAAGGAACAACATTTTCATGTATATTCTGGCCACAATCTAACAGAGTTAGTTGAGTTCAAGCCATTTGATTTATTGAATTATGACCTCCAATTTTTAAAGAACCTGATAAACTCAGTTATCAACTGTTGGACACTCAACCAAATAAACTCATTCTACCTACTTCCCTTTTATCAAATCAAGTTAATCTAACTCACATAAAAATCAGCAAGAGTTTGGCGCTACTAACTTTGAGCAAACCAAACCATACCCAGTATTTTAGACTGCATAATGTTTCATGGCTTTCCTGTGTGCACTAGATTGCATGCCTCTATCACCTTTTATGCTCAGTGATGAAGTGGGCTCTTGATAAAATATGAATATTCTACATTAATTTTAAGTGCATGTGGGATAAGACAAAAGTTGTAGGCTCTAAGTGCTCTAATGATTCATGTTGGCAGGAAAAACATGTTTTAAAGAAACCAGCCATGGTGTAGCATTGTTCAGAATCACTAACTCCCAATCCATTAAAAGCTGTGTAGCAGAATCAATCAATCCAGCTCCAGAAGGGCAGAGCTGATAACGCCCATTCCAGGGACCTATCAGGATAACAAACAACTTGGAAGCCAAACAATCCAAAGCCCTTTTCTCAACTGCCCCTAGAACAACCAATTTCAGGGCCTACCAGCCATCTAAACATAGCTGTCAATGGATCTATGACACTCTTCCTTCTCTGATCATCCCTTACTGAATCATAAAACTGGAAGGGACATAAGAGGTCATCTATTCAGTGCAGGATCTGCTAGATGTCCACCCACCTTTGCTGAAGACCTTCACTGGAAAAAGAACTTATCACTTCATATGACAGCCTGTTCCACTGACTGACAGCTTATACAGTCAGAAAGGTTCTCCCGACACCTACCCTAAACCTAATTCTTTTAGTTTTAACCCACTTATTCTAGTCCTGCTCTCTGCATAGAGAATATGTCCATTCCCTCTTTCAACAGAGGTCTGCTTTCACCATAACTTAGTTTTTAAGGTGCTACAAAGCTTGATTTCTGCTTTGTACTCTGAACGAACCGTTGGCATTCGGGAAGAAACCACTGAGAACAAAGAATTCTAACTTAGAGTTCTTTGTTTTCAATAGTTTCTTCCATAATGCCAGTTATTCCATATGTTTTAACCGCTCTAATTTTGTTTGAAAAAACATTTGGAAAAGAGATTCCAAAACCAAGCCAATTTCAGTTCTCTGTCAAACCATTGCATCATTCACCGTTGCATCAATAGGTTTTGCAACCTACACATGTTCTGAGCATAAGAAAAGTGAAAGCCAACAAGAGTAACATTAATCAAGTCATTGTCTTGCTTGTTATCTGGTTTCTTTAGCATAAAAAAAAGGAAGTCTGCTGAAGATATATCTGAAGGAGAAAGACTATACTGGCAGTAGTCTTGAGAGTGCTGGGCTCTTAAAAAAAAAAGAAGAATATATACAAGAATATATAGAATATATACACATATTTCACCAGTGACCTATTTTGGTCAATATTCCACATAGCTACACTCTGTATAAAACATAAGCACTGTTCCATGAAGTCCTTCTACTTGGTATTCATTTGAAGCCTGTGAGAAATTGCTGTTAAGAGGCCCATGCCGCCAGCTGCTGCATGTCTTCATCATCTTCCACCCTCTTCTTTGAAGAAGCTGTAACAAATAATAACAACAAATTATTATAAATAATAATTGTTCAGCATACAGGAACAACGAAGTACAACTTTGCTGTCTCTATGGGAAGACTGAGAATTTGGATTAGAGGCATTGTGGCTAAAAGTTATCAGTTAAAAGACACACTACCATAAACAGGGATGACTTCAGTAGAACTATTCACACAATAATTGTGTGCATGGCTTTAAGTCAGATCACAAGACTTGGATCCATATGATCAAATCCAAGTGTAGCCTCAGCTACCGCAAACTATTACTCTATGTACAATGCATTCTTTCATCATATAGGTAGTCCTTGCTTACCAACAGTAATTGGGACAATGAATTCCATCACTAAACAATGCAGTTGTAAGGCATGACATCATATGACCATGCCAACATATGACAGCAATTCTGGCAGTCCCAGTTGCTGCTGTTAGGCAAATCCCATGCGGTCACAGCTGCAATCACATGATTGTCAAACCTCCTGCCGGCTTCCCCATTGACTTTGCTTGTTGGAAGCCGGGAGTTAAGGTCGCAGGTGGTGATCATGTGACTGCGGGATTCTGCGACGACTGCAACTACGAGGACCAGTCATAAGTATCCCTCATTCAGCACCATTGTAAGTTCGAACAGTCGCTGAATGAGTGCTGGTTCAGTGAGGACTACCTCTACCTGTACTTTCTACCCACTGTTGTCACATCAAGAACTCATATACTCTTCATGTGTCAAGATGGTTACTATTATATCCAGGTATGTTGAATTTCAGACATGATGGACAGTGTGAATGGATGGCACCAGGGAGTAGGAGTTTGGAAATATGGACTAATGCCTGGGGCATTCTATCCCACTACGTTTCTACCAGCATTTGCAATAGAAACTTAAAATTTATCCATTTTTCCATCTTTAATATAGGTTCTACCAAGGTACAAAAACATATCTACATGCTGTTTTTTCATCATGTACATAAAACTGTCAATGGTACAGGCCATTTCTCTGTCATAACATAATTACCTTGGCCTTTGATACATTAATTTTCCATTCAGTTGTTGCAAGATACAAACTAACATTCACTGCAAATGAGTCAGGTTCTCAGCCAAAAAACACAGCGTCGTCCAATACAAAACTACATGTACATTCACATTCCTCAAGCAACATGTCACTATCACCAGAAGCATTCCTTTTACTTTTATCAATAATTACATTAAACAATCAAGGAGATATCATACTTCTTTGTTTTATTCTCTGCTCAATGTTGAACCATCCACTAAGCGTTCCATTTGTTCACATGCTTGCTTTACTTCTAGCATATGAGAGAAAGCCAGTTTGGTATAGTGGTTTAGGTGCTGGCCTCGAAACCAGGAGATCATGAGTTCTCGGCCTCCCTTAGACATGACAGCCAGCTGGGTGACTTTGGGCCAGTCATTTGCTCTCTGCCCAACCCACCTCACAGGGTTGTTGTGGGGAAAATAGGAAACAGGAATATTAGGAATGTTCACTGCCTTGAGTTGATCAAGTATGTATGTATATATGTATTAAAGGCATACAGATTTAAAGGATAGATTTAATACGTATATGCATACATACGTACGTATGTACATATATATTTGGTCAGCTCAAGGCAGTGAACATCCCTAATGCTCCTGCTTCCTATTTTTCCCCACAACAACACTATGAGGAGAACAGAAAGTAGTGGGATAGAATGCTCCAGGCATTAGTCCACATTTCCAAACTCTTACTTCCTGGCGCTACCCATTCATACTATCTAATACAGGTAGTCCTCGCTTACCAACCATTTGTTCAGCAACTGTTCGAAGTTATGATGGTGCTGAAAAAATAACTTTACAGCCCATTTCCAACCTTTGCAGCATCCCTCAGTCACATGATTGCCATTACAGTTAATATGCGTTGTCTTGTGCCTAACCTGTGGTTTTTCTTTTTTCGCCCACTGCAGAGCAGATTGATTGGAGAAAAAGGGATTGCAGGAAACCAAGCTGTTTGCTCTTCTACACATTGAAAGCAATGTGATCATACTGGCAGCCTGGGGCTGGAAGCCACAGGTGCGCTATGCAGATTTCTTACTGTACTCTCTTGAAATCTTTTTCTCTCCAAGCCCTCTGCTCTGTGAGGGAGGGGGGAGAAAAAAAGCAAGCAATTTTTGTAGGCAATCTCTCCTTTGCCTGACACCCTCCACCCCCCCCGCAGAACAGAGAGATTGGAAAGGGATTTCAAGAGATTAAGCTGTTTGCTTTAGTACACATTGAAACCAGTGTGCTCATCCAGGCAGCTCAGGGCTGGGAGCCACCATGCGCTACGCAAACAGTTTACAGTACTCTCTTGAAATCTCTTTCTCTCCAATCTTTCTGCTTTGCCAAGGGATGGGGGTGTACACATTGAGAGCAATGTGATCGCGCTGGCAACAGGAAAGGGTCAGGCAAAGGAGAGATTGCCTACAAAAATCGCTTACTTTTTTTGTCACCACCCTCCTTACAGAGCAGAGAGTTGGAGAGAAAGAGATTTCAAGAGAGTACTGTAAGCTGTTTGCATAGCACACCTGTGGCTCCCAGCCCCGGGCTGTGGCATGATCACATTGCTTTTGATGTGTACAAGACAGTGAGCAGGCACTCAAGCATTCCAAAGGGCAGGGGAGTAATTAGGAGGCAAACAAAAGCTGAATGTGTACAACTGAGTAGTCTTGCCTCTTTCCAGCCAGAAAGCACAGTCATGGTCACATGATTTCCACTTAGCAATGGAGTAGTCCCAATTATGGTTGTTAAGAGAGGACTACCTGTAATAAATAAATATGGCACTAACTCAGCAACTAACCTTCAATTCTGTATTTCTGCATGTTCCATAATTAAAGCCTATGCACTATCTTATGCTTTCTCTTAATCAATGTACAATGTACAATAATACATGTACATGTACAATAAACCTTCTCACATTCTTACCTTTCTCAGGTCTGCAGCACTCCCTGCTCAACATGAAACCAGACTGCACTTCCCAAATTTTGCTTTTATCTCTTGTACTATTTC